GGGGTTGTCTATGTTGGTATTATGCAGTGGACGGCAGCCATGGTCATCAGCTGTTCGCTCCATCCTTTGTCCCCTGCATCTTGTTGACAGAGCACCCACAGGCTGTGGCATTAATGAGATTAGCAGATTACTGCAGACCCTACCCTCCTCCACCTCTGCCCCCTTCTTGTCCACTCGGCAGCCCTGCAGAGCTTCAGTGGCTAATCCAGGCCAGGCTGGACCGTGCTGGACTGTAACACAAAAACAAACACTTTTACCTTGTTGTGTGTTCTCTATTCACTTTGGTGAATGGGTGAAACATTGCGTGACACACGTGTGCAGCTCAGGTTCCAGAGCAGAGGCACTGAAGCTCTCAGTTGATTTGGTTTAAGAGTTTTATTGTGTCAGTCCCATCCTCATCATCCTCAACAGGCCTGTTCTACCTCTCAATCAACCATTGGCATTTTTGCTTCATTGCCTTTAATCTCATCCCGTGTGATTTAATGTGTTTTCAGAGGTAGTCACAGATAAGCCAAAGGTTTGGCATAATTGTTTCACTGAATAATATATGAAGATACAAAAACAAATGTTTGCTGGATTTTGTGTCCCAGACATTCAAAAGTTGTTACATTTCCCAAAAGGACCCAGAAGTTGGCAGAATATATTTTGGCTGTAATTTAATTTCTAACGCAAAAAATAGTAGATAGAAAAATGGGGGAAAGCACAAATGAACTGCACATATTTGCACCAGATTGGTGTGACCAACGGTTACTAGTTTAACCAAAGATTTTTTCCGATGAAAAAGTTAAATGTAACCCTTTATTTACAAGAGAAAGGCTATATGAAAGAAAGTGGTTATTTTCAGCTCTTCTCCTTCTCTTTTTATCCTCTTAATGTGTCCTTTTTTTGTGTCCCCACCTCCAGTTTTGGATACTCAACTTCCCAGCAGGATACTACTTGGTTAAGAAGCTGCTTCAACTCTAATATCATGGTTGCTTGACCAGCTTTTACCAAGGCATGGTGCCAACAATAGCACATGGCAAAGCCTTAATCTTATTGTGTTGGGGCCTCTGGAGGGTTTCCACGCCCCTCCTCCTCGGGCAGTAACTCTTGCACACTTTGCTGTATGTATTCCCCACCAAGGTCAAGGATAAAAAAAGGTCCTTTCTCAGATCCGACCTTTACGCACATGTGTAAACAAACACACTCTTGGTCACATCCCCTCCCCTAATCTACTCCTAATCCTCCCACCCAATCAAATAAAGAGAGAGGGATGAAAACATGAGGAAATGAGTAAAAGTTTCAGAATCCGATGAGATTTGGACACACTTCCCCGTGTGCTGCCTTCAAATCCTGCTCCGAGGCCTTCAGAGACCTAAAGCTTAGCCCAGCTACTGCAGCTCATCCGGGCTCTTTGGAGTGAGGGCTTCCTTCCTGCCCGCCTGAGGGATCTGGCATGAGCTCACGCCAGTCAACCAATAGTGGGGAAAATAATTGAATATACCCGGGAAATCGTTCAAAAGTGGATAAAAGTACTACATTTGGCAAACAAACTCCTTTTGAAAATGCCCGTTATGCGTTATCCACTCAGATGGCCATTTTCAAGATGGCCACAAATGATGGCTTGGAAATGTTTTTTTGCCATAACATCACTTTCACTTGACCTCTGGTTGATCTTGGTGTCATATCATACATTTTTTACCAGAAACCAAATTCAGACATCAGGAATGACTCAGAAGCTTCTTTCTACCATATCTGAGCCATACGATCAAAATAATCTGCATCTCAGTGGAGGTGGTTGAGGTATTTTGTAGGTGTAGGAGTGTAGTACAAGAGGTAGTTCTGGTGACATCATGGTGTTCAATGATGGTTAACTAATTTAGCTCACATAGAAGACTAGTATTAGTATTAAGTTTAGATTCCAAAATAATAATAAGCCCCACATTTTAACATGTTGTGTTTAAAATGACACAATTAAGCTCTGAGGAAGTTTCTAAATGTGATGTCCTGTTGTCAATAAATCAATAGCAAATTCACAGAAATTGATCCAGTGGTTAAAATTCTGTGGTTTTTAGAAAATAAAAGATGCTAAATCAGGCTTTCTTTTTTTAATGCCCCCAGAGGGATGAACATGGAAATGTTGATGCTTGTATCCAATTTTTTTAAATTATTACAGCTATCAGCAGCTATTCTAGGATTGATGGCGGTGATTCACACAGAGACACCACCGGCTCTTTGGCAGCCATTTTGGTCTCGTTGCTGCATCTCTTTCTCTCTGGCCCCGTGTCTGACAAGGACACTTGTGTCTTGAACTCCCTCTCTCCGTCCAGCTTCCCAACCCCTCCAACCCCATTTCCACACATGCAGCTGTTGTTCCTGGCCTTCATTAGATTTGACACCCCACACCCGCCAGCCATTGTCGGGACGAGGAAGGGCAGAATGGGTCTGTTTGTTGGCACCGTGTTGGTTGTGTTTGCTTGTGAATGTGGGTCAGAGTTAAGGTCAACATCTGCTTCCACCATGCGCCTCCCGCAGCCCTTAATGTTACTCAAATCAGGAGTTACAGTACAGCAACGTTTGACATCAGTGACCAATACATGCATGTTGTGACCTTTGATTTGATGACCTTGGCTCGCTGGTAAATGGAACAGACCTAGAGGAACCATGTTCATTCAAGCCTAATTTAATTTCTAACGCAATTTGGCAAATATGATGAAGTTTGGTCTTGACTAATAACTAAGGTGACATTCCCCTCAGGTCAGAACCTCCGTCCAATCATAAAGCTGTGCGTCCAATCATGTCAGAGGTGCGGCTTTAAAGTCAAGCATCTCAGCTGGAGCTCTAATAGTGATTATCCAATCAAACCCCTCAGCTTGTTTCCCGATCTCTGCATGCCTGACTAACAGACACATGATGCCTGTGAAATCTTTGTGGATAATATATGACTCTAGACTATTCAAACTAAATTAGGTTTAGAGCAAACAGGACCTTTTTCTGTGGATGGGACCTTCATCTGGGACTCCAACTCTGATTTACAGAATATTTCAGATGGGCCTTAGCTCTGTTTTGAAGACTTTTGGTGTTTGTGAGAACAATGTGATAAAAGATTGAACCGAAACTCCTTGTGATATTCTATATTTTTCTCATTGTCAACATACATTAGACTATTTTAGTGCTTTCTTTACGAGTTTTCAGCTTCAAGCCCATTTGTTTGAAGTAAAGGCATAAATCACAAAAAATGTCATGAATGTATACTTTTCCTAAAAAGCTGGTCACTGTATTTTTTAGCAAACATTACTCAAAGTGGAGTAAATAACACATTGGTTAGGGACTAGTTTCTGCCGCGGATGAATACAAATGTAGGGCAATCAGTATTCACAGCAACAGGACTTTGTTTTTGGGAATAACGAAACAAAACTACAGTGCCCATGTTCGTTGTATTGAATAAATGTTTCGTCCAATGAGACATTTAGCCTGTCTGAAGTGTTTTTTTATATTTTTGGACAAAACGGCACAGAGAAACAAGATGAACCAGGCTTTTATATGTCAGTTTGGTAATTTTATGCAATTTGTTGACAATAAGAAGAAAATAGCATATCACAAGACCTTTCCTTTAAGTCCCCACAGCTCTATGAGTTGTGTTAAGTTATTTCAGTATGCTGCTGGAGTTTGGTGTGAGATTCATAGCATCGCACACCTTCCACTCATGATGTAAATATGTGGGTGTGTAACAAAACTTGTTAAGAATGAAAAAATGAACAAAAACAATTTTCTTGCATGCATGCCAGCCAGGTAGTTTTGTTTCTTTCTTTTTGTACCTCTGCTTTTATTTGCATTTTATAATGTGATGTTTTAAATGAAAGATGATGTCTTTGGTCATTTAAAGGAAACATGATGTGAACAGTATTAAAGTCTCGGACGTGTGACTACAGGTGTAACTATTGCTGTTCATGATTAGAAACAATAGAGACAGTGAAATAAATAAATGATCAACTCTTATTTTCTTAAGATTAATCTAAAATTAGCAAAGCATGTGAATACATACGAGCTAAGACAAGTTATCATTTACCATTGTTTATTTTAAACTCGTCTCACACCAGACTTCATTCGTTAATTTGCTCTTTTAGACGTGGTCATGATGTGTCATACCACAACAAGAACAGAGCACAGTACACTTATAGAACTGCTTTTCTTATCAGTGCACCAGCTGGGGACACAGAGGCGGCCATTGTTAATGTAGTGTGTGTTTTTCGCAGGCTCTCCAGCTCCGATTGTAGCTTCGCCTCTGGGTGCAAAAACCTTTTTTTATTCATCACAACACCTCGTCTGTGTCGTGTCAACTTATGACATGTGTTGATACAGGGATCAAAATAAATCTGTCTCCTCCTCCGCCAGTTTGCATTTCCTCAGCCATCATTGTACCTGTTACTCCAAAATGAAGAAGCACATCTAGAGTGACTTTTGTTAAGCCAATAAAACGTGTGAAAGTGAAATACTGTTGATGGGGGAAACTTGAAGAATACAAATGTGACATTTTTTGTTTGTTTGTCTGTTTTTTTTTTCATGATGATGTTTACTGTGTTGATAATTTAATAAAGTATTGAGTTGAAATCTGGTGTGTTTCTCCCTTTTCATACATCTGCGAGGCTCACCCTCTTAACACAAACTGCCTTTGTTCTCCACATGAAAAACTCTCCGCCTGCAACCCTGCTAACTGAAGACCGGCAGTAAATTCACGTGGGACCAGTGGCGGCCGGCCCATAGGGGCGCTAGGGTCGCCGCCCCCCCTCTTCCCACATGTTTGATTGTCATTCAAAATAAAAAATAAATAAAAAAATATATTTCCAAAAAATATTTTTTTTTAATTTTTATTTTTATTTTTAAAGAACAAGGTAAATATTATATAGTTGGTATTGGTAAAATATAAAATCTTTTTTTAAATTGTTTTACGATGTCTAAAGTTACTGATAAGTCACAT